TGCGTTACATTAACCCAAGTTTTCAACTATTCTTTGGCTCCCCATTTACTTATTCATTTTTGGATCACAAATTTCTTGACCATCCACCATATCCTTCACATGGAGCTAGGCACTGTGGATACAGAAACGGACAAGAGAAAAGTGCTTCCTGTCTTCATATAGCTGATCACTGAGTCATTTCTAGCCCATTTCTAGGTCTGATCATCCTCACAGCTATCCTAGCAAGAAGTCTCATTCCTTTCATGGCCCTAAATCATGATCTCCGTTCTACCTAGTGGATGGACCCCTCTCAGTCACTAAGGGTGGCCGTGGTCCTGCCTGTGCTTCTGACTTCCTGCCCATGAAAGGAAACCCCTATCCCAGGACAGAAGGAATGCTGAGCTCAGAGTTCTGTCTCTCGCAGTCCCACACAACCTATCCAGACTTTTCTCCTCCTGCCTCCAGGGGACATGACATGGCCCAGGACAGTGAGTTAGCATATTCTCGTGTCACTACAAGACATGACAACTGCAGTAGAGAACACCCAGGCTTTAGAGTTAGTGAGAACTGGGTTTAAATCCAGGTGCCAGGAGCCCGTGGCCTTCAGCAAATTACTTAATCTATTCAAGCCTCTGTTTCCCTCCCTGTAACACAGGGCGGGCAGTTCCCACGTAGCAGGTGGTGCTGAGAATCAGTGATCACCAAGCAGGCGCTCAAGTCTTGTTTGTGTTCCCAGGAGCACCGATGGAGGGTTTCCGAGCATGGATCCAACCATTCCCTGGGCAACCGAAATCACAACAATGAATGGAAACGACCAAATCTTTTCTCCAAGTTGTGACAAAAAGACTCTGATCCTGGTCTTCCTGATCGTGGTCATTGCCCTGGTCGGGCTGCTGGGAAACGGCGTTGTGCTCTGGCTGCTGGGCTTCCGCATGCGCAGGAACGCCTTCTCCGTCTACATCCTCAACCTGGCCGGGGCCGACTTCCTCCTCCTCTGCTTCCAGATTATAAATTACCTGGGTAACCTCATTGACGTCTTCCACTCCGTCTCCATCTCCATCCCTAACTTCTTCATCACTGTGTCGACTTTTGCCTACCTTGCAGGGCTGAGCCTGCTGAGCGCCATCAGCGCCGAGCGCTGCCTGTCCGTGCTGTGGCCCGTCTGGTACCGCTGCCGCCGCCCGAGACACCTGTCGTCGGTCACGTGTGCCCTGCTCTGGGCCCTGTCCCTGTTCCTGAGCACCCTAGAAGGGAAGTTCTGTGGTTTCCTGTTTAGGATTGGTGACTACGATTGGTGTCGCACATTTGATTTCATCACTGCAGCGTGGCTGATTGTTTTATTTGTGGCTCTCGCTGGGACCAGCCTAGCCCTGCTGCTCAGGATCCTCTGTGGCTCCCAGCGGATGCCGCTGACCAGGCTGTACGTGACGGTGGTGTTCACAGTACTGGCCTTCCTCCTCTGTGGCCTGCCTTACGGCATCTACTGGTTCCTCTTAATCTGGATGGATAATTCTTTTAATGTGGCCACTTGTTATCTTTATTTGGTTGTAGATGTCCTGTCTTGTGCTAACTGCAGCACCAACCCCATTATTTACTTCTTCGTGGGCTCCTTTAGGCAGCGGTGGCGGCAGCGTGGGCGGACCCTCAGGCTGGTTCTCCAGCGGGCTCTGCAGGACACTCCTGAGGGGGACGACAGTGAAGGAAGCTTTCCTCAGGGACCCCTTGAGATGTCGGGAAGCAGTCTGGGGTAGCGACTGAGAGCTTCTGCTTTGGTCAAACAGATGTAGGTTTGAGAGCCAACTTTGCCCCTATCACAATTTGGGAGATTTTCTTAACTTTCTCGTCCCCTGATCTTAAAACTGTCAAGACAATAATCCTCCTCCCAAGGATTAAGCGAGACAGTGTCTGTTAAGCAAACACTGAGTGCAGGGTCTCTGGAACTGCCTTACAAGCTTTCACCCCACCCTCTGTGAGCTTTGCCAACTCTAGGGTGCAGAATTGTTCCCACCTTTAACCAACTCAACCTTCAGGAGAAGGCTGAAAGCACTACAGGAAAGTTCCAGATTTCTTTGGTCATTGCACTTAAGAGGGACAAAAAGAATGTTACATTTTTAACAAGTTTCTTTTTCTCTTCCCTACAATTTCTGTCTCCAAATTAGAAAAATGAAAGATCAATCTAGGCCCCAACGAGCAGTCTCCTTCAATTTTGGCAGGCCTTAGAATATCTCCCTAGCTTCATAAATGTTTATTGAATACATCACTTAACAGATGAATAAACTGATGAATTTTTAAGTCAAGCCTGTGCAAAATCTCCATTTACCAAATTTGAGTCATCATCTTTAAACTTATTCCTTTCACCATTTTCAACTTTTGCAAGCATAAAGTTAAGTTGTATAACCAGATAAATCAACCATATTTAAGGTTTGAGGTAGACTGTCTTTTGGTAGTTCCCTTTCAAATGCCCTCCCACCCTTTCCTCTGTGCCTTTTCCCTGATTGTCCCTTTCTAGAGGCCCTCTAATCCCTGGTGGTAGGTTTCCAATGGGTCTCATTACACTCTAGGATCTATATCAGATTTACTTTTTATTCCAAAAAGCTCATGTTTATTTTATTAATTGAAATTCACATATTTTTTAAAGTTACA